GTGGTTTATGACCTGTGAATACTTGATATGGCAATAAGTATAATAGTGATAATGTTCACAAGCTGTAAAAATGGCCAGTATCACTTTCTCAATAACAGAGTATCTGGATTGGGCCGTGGTTTAAAATGCTGAAGCATATGCTACTGTGTGGTCACTTTAGAAGAGTTTCGTTGCTAGCACCCGTAGATATGGTTATATTTTCTTAACCATTGAATAAAGACAGTACTGGTGCTTCAGAAACTAGTTTCTTCAATATGTTGATCATATATCTCCTTTATTTATTTACCCAATGTTTATCCGTTTTTAGCAGATTTCTCAAAGCAGAAGTTTCCTTTGCTAAATTTGGTAAAAAACTTGAGATAGTAAACATTAATAAAAATAGTTGTGGTTTCTTGTCGATATTTACTATTTTTAGTTTTGTAGCACCTTTTCCTCACAAATTTCCTGATATCCACTGCCCAGATATTTATGTTTTAAGACTTCTAATTGTTTTTTTTGAGAAGGAAAAAAGGAAGGGCAAAAACAATAATTCAAAAACTAACTATAACATAACTAAGTACCAACAAAGCACAAAAAAAAGATAAATCAGAACTGAATTTGTGTTTTTTATCTTCAATAGGATTATTTTCACAACGTTTCGGCAAAGTATCATTTGCCATCTTCTGGTGTTCTGGAGTTTACATCTTGGTGGAGAAGCATCCCATAGGTATCTATCCCAAGTATGATTGAAAATAATTTTTATTTCCACTGAAATCAGTGGCTTTCGAGTCACGACATTCCAGTGCTGTACCTACTGTTTTATAAATTTGGCAAGCTAGTCGAGAAACATCTGCAAGAGCAAGACTAAACTCTGTGAGATATCTTGCATAAATAGTCGGATACAATTCAATGTCCAGCAGAGTACTAGCCGGGGAAGAAGTTATTTGCAGGGAGGCATTTACCAGAATCTACTGTGTAGGTACGTTGGGAGAGATGAATGTTTCGAGATTTCTATTTTTAAATATTTATATTCTTATATGTATGCATCTCTCCTCGACACCGTCTTTACAATTATTCTGATTTCTGGCTACGTCATTTGTTGTTTTCACCATTTTATCAATCTGTTTTGATACATCTTCCTCAGCTTTACAAATTTGTATAGAAGTAGATAAATCCAGGTTTCTAGTTTTCAGAATTTTTTTTCTCAGACTATTACTTCTCATACCACATACAATCCCGTCTCGTATAAATGAATCTAACAATGCTGCAAATCCACAGTCCTTGCCTTTGTTTTTTAGTTCAGTAACATGTTCATCTATACATTGATCCTTCTTTTGTTCACTGGAGAAGAAAACTTGCAAATATGTTTCATTTTTATATGGCTTACAATATTTAGAAAAGACGTTCAGAATTGCTTCAACAGAAAATCTTCAACATTTTGTGGGATTCCTTCTTCATCTGATGATTCGACTTCAAATTCAAATGTATTGGAAAGGCTAACTCCTTCCTCTCCAATATATGAAGTAACATGGCTCTTCGAGTTTTCGGTGGCTTTTCATCCAAATCTGTTGCAGTCGAATATATATTTCTATCAATTGACGTCATTTCTCCACGATTATTTCCAGGTACAGTCTTTCAGTGGTTTCAAAGATGACATTTTTGCTGTATTTTATTTTAATCCATTTTCCGCTGCTATCATGTAAGTAACTTACTAATTTATAATTTAGTATGATTTAATTATGTATCTACTACGTTGTTTTGAAAGTTTGTCCGTTTTCATGAGCCTACTTCAAACTGTAATATCTCAGTACGGTAATTTATGAAACAATGCGGATCGGCGTTGTTGAGGAGCTGGATCGGACTTCTTCTGTTGACCACTGCAGGCTGCTGCTGAAGCAATTTTCAGTGCATTTCGTCGATTTCCTAAAAATAGGACTCTGCTGTGATAGTTTGGTCCGGTTGCAGAAAGTTATAGTGAAATACACCAGCCGCTGACTACCATACAGGAACCGTAACCATGGTCTTCTTTGGTGGGTTATCACCTTTGGGAAGTGCCTGGGTGTCCATCGGTGTCCAATCACCGCCTCGAACGTCTCCTGTTGTTATGACACAAGGTGAATCCGACCCAAGAAAGGATAGTTTTGGTTGTGCAAAAACAAAGAACAGACTTCGAAACGCGACAGTTTCTGTCGATGATTCAAATCGTGGGGCACCCACTTTTCGAGCGTTCTGACCTATTCAATACGTTTTTAACAATAAAAAACCGCATGGGAGATGACGTCCAGTTCTTCCGCCATTCCGCGCTTCGTTTTTGATGGGTCAGTCGCCACTAGCACCGTATAGAAGTAAACACAAATAAGTTTACTCTCCGCCATATTTGGGTCAAAATTTCCCACCTCGAATTTTATGCTAAGCGAACCTACTGCGACACCGACTGAATCTGATGGGTTTACCAAGCGAGCTAAGTTGAGGCATGGAATATTATTACAGAGTGAGTCGTTGTAAGTGGTGGTTTTGTATTGTGAAAAATTCGTGTCTAGTTTCAAAATGAATAAGTTTCGAGTTGTGGGTTGCTATAATTTGCAGGGTGATGTCGGCATTAATTTTTTTCGATTCCAATTGACGAAAACATGTATGTTTTTGTAGTATTCATTATGTAAGATTGAAGGAATGAAGATATAACGAAAATCATAAAATGAATTGTTATAGACCAAATATATGCAGACTTTTTTATGAAATTAATTTGATTAAATTAAACTTTACGAATAGTATATGCCTCAAAAGTAATGATATAAAATGACAAAACAATCATCGGAGTTCCACTGGAAATCCACAGAGGAAAATAATTGTTGAACCGCATTTTTTTATTTGGCTAGTATGTATCTGTAGGAAAAATATTACTTCCACTGAAATATCTGCAAAACCAAAGTATCAAATGTATATTCAAATAACCTTTTTTGGAGCCTACTGTTGCATACTTTTTTACCAATTCATCCACATCAATGCTGGATATAAAAAGTATTCTGATTGAAGCTGTTAGGTAATTATCAAAAATTGGATTAAGAGTTAGGGGTATCATTTCAGATTTAGGTTTAAATTTTTATACACTTACCAGTAAAGATGTGAAAGTGACTGTAGAGCTGCCATATTTCTTTGTTGATGACAAACAAATATTTTACTTTTTTGATACTCCTCCTCTGCTGAAATGTAGCAGAAACCATTTTTCGATGACTTTTTGAAATTTGATGAATTTACAACAAACATGAGTCATCTTGGACAACTTTACAACTTGGATAAGGGAAAGCAATATAGACTAGCACCCAAACTTACTGATTCTCATTCATTTTCAACTAACTTTCAAATGATAAAGGTTAAATTAGCAAGTCAAGTTTTCAGTCATTCGGTAACTACAGCGATGAATACTTATGCCAGTTTCAGATACCATCAGCAGTAACAGGGACGAGTACATTCATTCAAAAAATGGATAAAGTGTTTGATATTTTGAATTCAAATCGATTTGACGATGTCAAACATTTCAATAAACCTTTTTAAGGAGCATCAAAAAAAATTGATTTTCTGAAAGAAATGAAAATATTTCTCAGCAAATCAACTGTAATAAACGATTTCTTCTTCACATCATTCTGGTAACACATACTAGATAGACAATAAATATCCTGAATAGTGCATATTGCCAATTGAAGAAAACAGGATTATGTGCATTGAAGCAGACTACCGGCTGACACTGAAAGTCACAGCATTCTTGGAATGTCTGCAACAGTCAAAGGGACTGCCTTATTCATACCTAATCTCAATTAGAGAAAATGTGATCATCCAGGAGAAGAAAATACTAGGATCACATAGTTGTGGAATCACAAAACATCTTCAGGGGTATAGACATAAACCAACCTCACACATAAATCAATAAAAATATTCTCGGTCAGCCAAACGGTTTTGGAATCAGTTGGTTCTTACCAAACAACATACCAATTGATAGTAAACTGCCAAAACAGACTCTTCTCCATAGGAGGACTCAACAAATTGTCTCTGGTGATGAAGTACGTTAACACTACCTCAGTGATGACCTACATTGTGTAACAGACCTACTTACACAGGTCACCGTCTTCTATATATGCTGAATCTTGGACTATCGAAAGATAGTGTGTGCCATTTTTGAAATGATTGTTTTGAGTGAATCAATTTGAAGTTGACAATGGGTAAAGTGAGACAATCCGTATATACAAATATTCAGTATATTACAATTCCTAGCTTTTTTTTTGCGATAGATATGCACAAACGATGTTTTTGTGCTAGGCCAAGATCAGATTTATATGATTATATCCAATTGATTTTTAATTCAATTATTCAAATCTCATCTGGAAAAATTTGCTTACATCTATCTTCTGATCGTTCACTGCCTACTATGTTGTCTGATTCAGCGCGAGATACACCACTGACTAGCGTGGCTACGTAAGGCAAAATCTTTTTTTTATTAATTTCTGGCTGGTCGAGTCTACAATTTTAGAAAGACTCGTGGAATTTCCCCCTTCTGAAAATCACTTCTGAAAACTGAGTGAGTACCTACATACCTTCTGCTTCAATGCTACTTGGAATATTGAAAATGATGAAGTATTAAGTAATTTAATTATTATAGAACCAGAACCTACTGTGTAGGTCGATATGAGAGATGAATATTTCGAAATTTTATTACGAAATATTTCAATCAGATCTAAAGAACATGAATCCACTCCTTGATTATGACGTTGATAATTGTTTTTATCACATTTCATTTTTTTCTCAAGATACGTCACAAGTGCCAGAATGACGTTCATAGGATTGATATACGACTCATCAAGCCAAAACAAGTTGTGACTTCTTTATTAGTCAAGCTGGTATAAATATTAAGCTATATCATCATTAAAATTGAAATAATTAAATTGTAACTACAATAATCTCAGAAGTGAATTAATCAATTATTTAGGATTTTGGAAACCTGAGGGTTTAATGAATTTATGACTAAAATATTATATCATTTTGGATTTTTATTGATTTTATTGTATTATACACTGACTTATCTATATACAAAATTTTTTTGTAAGATATAAAGAGTAACCACTTCACTTTATTCAACAACTTATACGAATAAAATTCATTCACAAACTAATTCATCACTTATGTTTGGACTTCTTCTTTTTCTTTTTGCTTTTCTTGTGTTTTCTCTTCTTTCGCTCTTTTTCACTTTCACTGGAGTCAGATTCTGAAGAAGAACTACTACTGCTACTGCTAGTATCTCTCTTCTTTCTCTTTTTATGTTTCTTGTGTTTTTTCTTTTTGCGTTCTTCCTCTGAACTCGATTCCGATTCTGATTCTGAACTGGAACTTTCTGTCGTCTCTTTCTTAGAACCTTTCTTCTTATCTCTTTCTTCCTCTTCTGAATGGGATTCATCATAATCTGGTTCAAAAGCTGCTTCGTCAATAGTGGCTTTTCGTTTAGTAGTAATTTCTGGTTTCGGTTCATCTTTTTCATCTTTCTCGGTTTTTAAGTCACCCTCCTCTTTCTTTTTCAATTTTTCCTTCTTCGTTTTCTTGTCTTTCTTTTTATGTCTATCTTTTCTATCATCGCTTTCACTTCTCGAACGAGATCTTTTTCTCTTGGATTTCTTGTTATCCTCATCATGCTTGGACTTCTCTTCTTTCTTGGTTTTCTCTCTTCTGCGGTCATTCCGCCTATCATGTCTGCTGTGATGACTGACTTCAGTTCTATTTCTACGAATGTCTCTGCTACTTTCTCGACGCCTCGATCTAGATCGCCTCCTATTTCTAAATTCGTCTACTTCAACACGCCTTTCTCCTGCAGCAAAATTCCTGCCGTTCTCACCCCTTCTACTGAACGGGGAAACTGTCCTTGATCTCCTACTTAGATTGATGACTTTATCGGTATCTTCAACTTTAACCCCAAGCCGCTCTTTAACTGACAGCCTAACAGGAGCTTGCTGAACAGGATCAGGTTTAACAACAGTTGCTCCGATTGTAACTTGGAACTGGTTGAAAGATTTCTCAACTTCTCTTTCTCCAGAATACAATTTGGCACGATCTGGTCCAATCTTTTTAATTTCTATGGGACGAATCGCATTAATTGCCTTGGCGAAAATGGCGTTTTCTGCTCTCTTTAAGACTTCATTAGTTACTTTACCGGATTTATCAGATTTAGAATCAGATTTGTTGCTATCTTTAGGACTGGTGAGACCCTCATCATCATTTTCCCATTTTGATTTCTCAGGAACTGGAGCTAATATATCGCTTTTATCGATCTCCGTCTTCAGATCCATATCCGTTGTATGTAATTCAAGAACATCTTTCTCTTCGTCGTCTAGTTCTTTTATTTCTCCTTCTTCCATTGTTTCTTCGGGTTCATCTCGAGTTCTTTGACTGAATTCTTCATCTCCTTCATATATCAATTCGTTATCTAATTTGCCATAATTTTCCATAACAGAAGTATCTATGTCTTCGGTTGGAATTTCACCATACAAATCAGGTTTTAGTTCTTCAGGTTCTGGAGTATACTCTTTCCGTTCTTCCAATGCAATTCTTCGCTTACTTTCTTCGATTTCTTTTACTCGGACCTTTTCCCGTTTTTCTTGTTTTGCTGTTTCTCCCTCCATTGCCTTATTCTCTTGATTCTTTCGCTTTTCCTCTTTCAGAGCTTCTGATCTTTGTTCTTCCTTTAGAGCTTCAAGCCTCTTTTCCTCCTTGAGTGCATTTAGTCTTTTCTCTTCCAATTCGCGTTCCTCAATCTCTTCCCGTTTCTTTTTATTCAAAATCTTTTGATTTTCGATTTCTTCAACTTCATCGATGTTCTTGGGAATGATTTGTTTGAACTCATCTTTTTTCTTTTCTTTGCCTTCTTTTTTATGTTTATCTTTTTTGTCGCGTTTCTTCTTTTTGTCCGATTCTTTTTTGTCTCTATGCTTCTTTTTATCTTTATTTTTCTTAGACCTTTCATCGTCAGAGTGATCTCGTCTCTTATCTTCTTTATCGGAAGAGTCTCGCCTTCGCCTTCTGTGTTTCTCCGGAGTATCTCTTTCTCTGGATTTTGATTTTCTTTTAGGGCTAGGATTTCTTGCTCTTTCTGGTGTTCTACTTCTTTTTTCATGCCTTCTCTTTCTATCATTGTATTTATCAGATTCCTTTTTGTCTGAACGTTTTTCGGATGACACTTTCTCTTTCTCCTCCTTTTTGGGGCTTTCCTTTTTCTCAGGTTTGAACGGTGGCTCCTCTACACCAGGAGGCGCAATATCATCATCAACACCTGGAGGTGCAATATCTTGATATTGTCTTTGGATAGTATGTATCGTTTGGGGAAGTGTCTGTGCGTAGGGAGGTTCTTTGTTCATGAAAGGTGGCCCGAAGTCTCGATGAGGAGGACCCTGTCCGAACCTAAACAGATAGGAAATGGGTATTACATTATGCCATTCACTTAACCAATTGTTGAGTAATAAAACATTTTTCATTTGTTACCTGACTCAATTTGTAGATTTTATGATTAATGAAAAAGAAACTTAAAATACCTTCGAGTCAAGACACATATGACAATTTGAGAGTGAGCAGTGAAAGCAAACCAATATTTATAACTATAAGAATATTCTTCGGGTTCCTCGGGTTGTGAACTGGACTTCTTGCAAATTTGATGGATACCATAACTGGAAAAAGTTATTTAACGGATTTTGTTTTTCAAATGAATAATACAAATTGTATTAAAAGAAATCTTTATTCTACGATTTCGAATACATTTAATTATGTAATTGTTTTATACGACGGAATCAATCTAAACCGCCAATAGTTCAAAGATAAAAAATATTTGTGTTATATGCTACGAAATTACAAAAAAGTAAAATTGGAGAAAAACATTTGTTGTGAAAAAAAAAACAGCAACATATAACCAAAAGAAATTCGACTATACAAAAAGTATGGATAATAAAGGTAAAATGATAAACAGTATTCTAATTGAAATAGGAGTTCCCCAAATTATCACGGAAAATGCAAACAATTAATTTATTCATCTATCGGACATTCATGGATAATAAAGGTAAAATGATAAACAGTATACTAATTGAAATAGGAGTTCCTCAAATTATCACGAAAAATGCAAACAATTAATTTATTCATCTATCGGACATTCTTTCATATGGCATGTACTAATTGGGACTGAATGAATGCTTCACTCAGGATGTCTGGTATATTTCAACTATGTCCCAAATTATTTTTTTAAGCAAATATAGGCTAGGTATGTAGTCGCATAGACAAAAAAAGTGGAAGGTGTGATAGACTTATTCAATCATAAAATGAAAAATAAAATGGCACAAGAAATTGATAAAAATTATTAATGAATTCCGACCTCAATCTCGGAATTTTATTGAATTACGATTTCAAATTACGTTTTTTATTAACTATAGAATTTTTGAACTGATTATATTGTATATTGGTCATTTTATACCACACAGATTTAAACAGTAGGTAACTTTGATTTCCTGTCCCCGATTTCGTAGTTCTGGTGTAGGTTGTAGAGAAAAGTAATTCAGATTTATTATATTTTGAAAGGGCAAATCTGATGCAGATGAACCGAATGCAAGTGTTATAGTGACAATACATTCGAATAGGCAACATGCAAGTAAAAAAAAACTAATTAATACAGTTTATTGTATTTTGAAGTTTACGTATGAGGAAGCTATTGAATAGCGAAACACGTGTCGCGGTTTTCGTAAAACCCTGTCATAGTGAAAGTCATACAATAAACTGTATTGATACAGTTTATTGTTTGTTGAAGTTTACGCATGAGGAATCTATTGTATAGCGAAACACGTATCGCGGTTTTTGTAAAACCACTTTCAGAGGAAATCAAACTATGAACTGTATTATTTATTCTTAATGTGTTTTTTCATCAAGTATAGGCCAGTTCTATTCAANATAAATAAACTATTAACAGTTTATTGTTTGTTGAAGTTTACGCCTGAGGAAGCTATTGTATAGCGAAACACGTGTCGTGGTTTTTGTAAAACCCTGTCATAGTGAAAGTCATACAATAAACTGTATTAATACAGTTTATTGTTTGTTGAAGTTCACGCATGAGAAAGCTAATGTATAGCGAAACACGTGTCGTGGTTTTCGTAAAACCCTTTCATAGTGAAAGTCATACAATAAACTGTATTACCACAGTTTATTGTTTGTTGAAGTTTACGCATAAGGAAGCTATTGTATAGTGAAACACGTGACGTGGTTTTTGTAAATCCGTTTTATAGTGAAATTATACAATAAACTGTTAAATTAGTTTTAATATGGATTTTCATCAAGTATCGGCCAGTTCTATTCAACATGCAGGTATTTTCAAAGGGTGAAAAAGAAACCTTTATACTTGATTATTGATAACACGGTCAGACAAAAACCATTTAATAATTAATAAATCAAAGACTAATGTCCTGATGTTTTGTTCAAATAGTCGGTAACACCACCAGCTTTTGTTGTTTGAAAATACCAATAACGTCGTGTCTTTTTCTGAATCTATCAAAATGCTAGGAATTACCTTCGATTCAAAGCTCTCATGAATTTCACATATTGATATTGTCTGCGGCAAACTTATAAAAGGATGTTATGCACTCAAGTTTATGTCGAGTCATTGCAGTGAAAATATCCTTCTGCCTTTATACTTGGCCCACTTCCATTCTCATATGAGAAACGGAATTTTAAACTGGGGAGCAAGTTCCTCTGTACAAAGGGTGTTCTTATTACAAAAAAACGCAATCAGAATAATTGCAAAAGTGAGTAGAAGAGAGTCATGCAGAGAGATTTTCAAAAAAATTTAATATTTTGACTGTTAGTGGCATATACATCCTCAAAGCGTGTTGTTTCATTTTCAAAAATAAGGCCACTTATAATGCCATCAGAACACACCATGAACATGATACCAGACGAAAAAACATTATTTTACCCCACCGGCATACCACCGTCCGGTATCAATAAAACTTTGAATATATTGAATGCAAATGGTATAATTCTCTGGCAGATCACATAAAGAATGCAGCTTCTTCAACAATTTTCAAAAATCTCCTGAAAAAACACTTACTCCGCAAAAACTGCTACACCATAGAAGAATTTTTTAATTAGGAAACTTGAATTTTAAATGGAATATGTAGGCAATATGCTTTTCATGTATATGCGAAATAATGTGTATTTATGTATGTTAACATGTATGTGTATTTATGTGAATATCTATCTGTATTGTATTATATTGTTATATTACCTTTTGACATTTTTCACAATTTTCCTGTATTTTTTAACAAGTTAATTGCTAAAAAACCCTTCCTGGTTAATGGTGTTCAAATTTCTCCCTACTCTGTTGAGGAGCTTTTAGCATATTCTATATGAGTGATAGATACTCCTATTATGTAATGTACATACATCATTTTCAACTTTCAAATTTTTACCCTTTTACTGTGTAATTAACTTTTTATTGTATTGTATATTGCATTACACATTTTATATGACTTGTATTCTATGTAATCATCATATGAAAATAAATTGATATTATTATAGTATATGGAAAATATTTTCCCAATACGATAATTCAAAGTGGCAAAAACGATTGAAATTCAAATACCCAAATCGCACGTGCGAAAAATGTTTGCAGACAGAAAATTCTACAAGGTATGTTAAAAAAAAAGGTGAATATTCAATTAGCGGCTTTTATATTTTTGTATGTTGTTACGGTCATTTCGAACATATTTTCACAGTTTCAGCTGCTCAACATGTCTAGTTTGTTGGTGAGAGGCATAAAAGTTTGAAGTGCTTAGCGTGTTCGGCGATTTTCGGCTATAGAAAAAAAAAATGGATCAGAGAATTTGTATAAAATTGTGTAAAAAATAGAATTGAATTCTCAGAAATACTTGAAATACTTTTCACAGAAGATCGAGAAGATGTGAATGACGACGCTTGCCTTGGACGCCACAACACATTAACAACCAGCGGCGGCTCGTCAGAGGAGGTAAGGGAGGCTTAGCCTCCCCATAAAATTTGAGGCTATTCATCGCAATAAACTAAAAGATATTGACAAATAATTATGATTATTTTTTTCTAAAAATGCTTGGTTATCATTACTTTACCATTAATTTTTAATATAAATACATAATATGCCCGAAAAAACACTATCACTCACTACCTAGGTAGTGTATCCTGTATCAACAAAACTCAAACGCACCACCAATGGACAAATAACGAATAAACCATCAACCCGAAATAATAAATGCCATACGATGCAAGGGAGCCAAGCCTTCGACCGCTTTAAAATACACAGACTCCACGAGACCGATCCAACCAGCGACATACGGCCCGATTTGCTATTTCAGTTGCAGAAATTATATCGTTAGAGGAGGCTAGCCTCCGGTTGGTCTCCGTTAGTGTACGACTGCGTTTGTTTTTCATTTAATCATTTGGACGGGATGCCGTGACAGACCGGGACTGAAAAATATTTCGGTAAATCGTTTTAGTGTTTCTTGATAATATTTGTTATTTGTGTATAAAACAGGCAGTATTGTATTATAGCAGTGCTTTTTGGTGATATTTTAATTGTGTTTTTGAAGTGTTTTCTTTCAATTTCAAGGTGTTTTCAGGTTTTCACTTTTCGGTAAGTTTTTTTTTTCATTTATTATGGATAAGTTGGACGAAATTGAAAAATCTGACGATATAGTCGATTGGTTGCTGACAAATAATTTCAAGTCTTTATCTTATGATAATAAATTTGGATGGAAGAGCAATCTCTGCGATGATTTATCATACGCAGATGTTGAATCCTGCCATTTGATTGGTTGTAATTGTATGGAACCATCAATAAAAGCCATTATTATTATTATTAAAACTCTGGGAAGGCCTCAACCAAATTTTATTTCAATTGAAACGTCAGATAATCGGCAAAATCGTGGATTTAATATTAGTTGGTACGATAAATGCGATTAGTTAACCGGCTCCATTAAACGAGAAAAACTTTTTGTTGGCCATGTGTTTTATTTTCCGTACAAATCGAATATCAAACGTGGTTTAAAATAGAAAACTCCGATTTAAAAAATTTACCTCGTTCTACAGAAAGACATTTTAAATCTAAGGAGCATATATTTTCATCTTGTAAATTAAAATTGTTTAGCAAAAAAAATATAGCAACAGCTGTAGATACAGCTTAAAAAGAGGCCATAATTTCTTTTAATAATCAGGTTAAGGAAAATCGGTCGAATTTAAAAAGACTTATCGATATTACGATTTATTTGGGTTCCCAAGAATTAGCTTTTCGTGGACACGATGAAACCGAAGATTCGATTAATCCAATAACAAGGAACTTTTAATGTTATGGGGCAAATATGATTCACAATTTGGCACTTTTTTAAACGGTGGCGTTT